CCTTTACGCGTTCACTTGCTCTCGTGGAGGTAGGTTCATTTATTCATCTAAGATATCATTAGGGCTCCACAATGTGATCGGATGATGCGTCGGCGATTACTTGATTCGAGGTAGTTGCCATTCACTGGATTACAGGAATTTCAAGTTCACGGTATGCTACGCGACGCTCGTGTGCTAGCAATCACTAATCGATAGACTTCTATGTCTGGTTCATTGATCCCATGCACACTGAATCTAGTCCACTGTGTTAATGTCTCTTGCTGTCCAGATTGTGGCATATGTTTTATCGTCTGTACAGGATGAAGAGCGGTATTTACCCTGTGTTCAGCGTCTATTGGGGCAATATCCGGATCACCTTAATGCGACAGAAAACTGTGGAAGCAATTTGGCGTGAACAGTTCAATCCTGGAAACGGAACACGCTATCACTCTGATGCGTGCCATTTTATCGGTAGGAGGAAACAGTGTGTCCGGGAAGATTCGTCTAATGGGAAGAGTATTGTCCAGTCGGTTTGACCCGGTTGGCTCTCAATTGAGGCAAACGATATAAATAGTTTTAATGTTCTTCATCTGTCGCTTCGTTCGTGTGCCAAACATATTTTAAAGCCCTACATCGAGTCTTATCGATGCATACCGTCCAGTTTGTCATTTATACAAAAGTGAAACGTAATTATAAACGCCAGTTTTAAAGTCATGGATTTATTGTTGCAATAAGCACTAACAAAAAATTCTCATGTCGTTAGTTGATTTGGTATTCGTTAGCCTGGTCCATATATTTATTGTTCAAAGTTGAGTGTATTCTTCTGAATGTCAGTTAGTCGAATTGGTGTGGTGTCATTTTTAGTTTTTAGAACCATTACCATTCATTCTCATGCACCGGTTTTGGTTGGTGTCTGTTTTTTGTCCATTTGGATAAAAGAGCAGAATGAAGATTGGTATGTTGAGAGAAAGACGTGTGTTGTGTATCAGGCCCCAGTCATATAGGTTTTGGAAACCAGGTAACAGTGCGACTGTCTTTTACCAAGGTTCAGTGGTAGCGTGGGGGGGGAGGGGGGGGTTCGAATTCCAAACCGTGACCACTTAACCCTATCGCGTCTATCCTTGAAAAAAAAACTTCACGGCATTACAGCCGCTCCATCAAGTTTGTTGGAAGGATCCAGCGGTGCATATCCACTGAATAAATTTGTATCCAATTGCGAAAAGGTGGAATAATTAGTCCGACGCAACGACTACCTGTTCTATCGCGACCCATATTTAGCAGCTTTCTACACGTCAACACTATAGGACGTAACGTTCAGTCATCATTATCGGGCTTCAGACAGAGATCTACTCTCTTAGCAGGGTCGGACTACGACCCTGGTAGGGGTTAAACGTTAATTAAACCATGTGGAAATTCTTTATGCTTATGAAGCAGCATTCTTGGTAAAGGTTCACCTTATCGCCCACCATCAAAATGTCTAGGAAGCATCCTCATTGCTACTGCATGTTCGATCACGATAAATAACATTGGGCATTCATCCAGCTTTTAACGGTTTCGGACTGAACGTGCGGGATTGTCAGTCCTTACTTGGACTATACGGGATGGCTATAGCGCAAAGTAAATTGTGTTTGGAAGCGACACTTGTGGACTGTATGCAAATACATTGTGGTCTAGCCACTGGTCGATAATTGTTCTTTATTCTTGATAGTTACCTTTGAACTAGGTAGACAGATGCGTTGAGCGACGAAGTACTATGGCAGTAATGAACTTTATCCGCCATGGTCAAGTATGTTGTCATCTTTGTCGGAAGATAACTGGACGCACTCTGTCCACTAATTTGAATGTTTCATCTGGCATTCGCCTAACCAAGAGGATTCATTCCGCATTGTGCTTAGACTGAATTTCTCAATAAAAATCACTGTGGTAACAAACATCTGTATTCCATTTTCCGCAGTCTTAAATTTACATTTTGATCTATCATTTTTTAGGCGCTGGTCGTTGTGGAATAACATGTGCGCCTATTCTTTAGTTCTCTCACGTATGATCGTCTAAACGTGTGTAGAACTTAACCTGTCGAATCAGGTTCGTCTCACTTCACGAAATACTTCAACCCTAAAAACTTGAGAATTCGATTGAATTTTAACAATGGTCGGACAGCTGTTATTCTATTTCCTTTGGCACCTATCACTTTTAGGATGTTTATCATCGCGGCAAACGTTTTCTTTTTATCACATTAAGGTCTTATGTTAAGTGGTACACCAAATCAGTGCTGACGATGTATGTCAGTCATGGCTTGTCTGTCATGCACATTCCATCATGCTAATATATGACACGCTTGTTGGTCCACTTGGGAACCCCGTTACTGTTACAATATGTGACAAAACATTCTAGTCCTGACACCTTGAACGCCCATTGGCATATCGGAATTAGGTGAAGTCACATGCGCTGACAACACCCACTCACCCACCCAGGTTGTTGAAGTGTCAGTGACTTGAGTCCCGTGGTTTGGTTCACAAACTAAATTGAACGAATCGATCCGCTCAGCGCTCTGTCAACTCATANCATACACAAGCTCAGTCCCCATGCTTCTCGTTACATTAGTTTGTATTCATCCTCGAGGTCACAGAGTCGCTTCACGATGACGACCCTAGCGAATCATTGTTGGTACGGAAGCCCTCCCCCCTGCCAGTCCGGAATACACATTATGACACTAAACTAGTAATAATAGTATCAAGAACGGCTATGGAACGAACTACAACTGATTGACTGCCCGTATATTTGTTGCTCTGCTCGTTTTGTGAAGAGTCAAAGTGTTCTGTTTGTGAGCGTGTTATGTGCTGGTATGTCTTCGCAGTGTTAATTCTCACTGTGCGCATTTAAGCTTCACTCGGTTGGACCAGAACAGGCCAATGTCTGTGACCTATCATAGAATAGTTATCAACAGCTGAGATGCAAGCAATCAAAGACTGTTTGTGCGACTAGTGGCTCACATGCATCTATTGAATTCCGTCACATATTTGGTTCACCTCAATTCTGTATCTTCACCTTGATACGGCTTCGCGCTTCTCCCTCCACCCCTGCTTCGAAACAGCAACTGGCGCGTGCGAAGACGCAAGCTTGATATAATGAGACTGATGTAACTTTAAACTTCCTTAATACGTTTTTTCACGCTGAACATCAGCACCGATGTCCAGCCAGTGTTTCTGCGTGCTCCCATTTGTTTTTATGCCATACGTTTCAACACTTTCATTGTTCACGATTAAACTTGAACTTTGTTCGTTATTCACAGTTTTAAGTGTCACAGTGGATCAGTTTTTTAAACCCTAGATGATCGGTTATGGGGTCTTGGTTTTCTCGTCCTAGCGATTTCAATTTAAACTGCGATTAGTCTATTTGCAAATGCGCTTCATGCTCCATTTTCTGTCGTTTTTCATCTGCATTGACAAGAATAAGTTTTCTACCTCCGTCCTCCGAATCGACACGCTCATTCAACGGTTCCGTGCGTATTTGGTTGTGAGACTTGACAGTGTTTAATCGCGTTCCTCCGAGACGAAGCGTGCATTTATNCGCATGACCTATTCATTGCACGCACACACAAACAACGTGGACAGAGAGCAGCGCTAAGCTGCACAAGCCATTTGTGGTTCACAAAACACCCTATTTGATCCGACAGAACGTGTTTCGTGTACGAATTCTTGAACAACTCTATACGCTGCAATAAGAGTGATCATGAAGCGACTAAACGCATGCGAACTGCAGTTCGATAGATCATCTGAGTATCCGACCAGGTCTTGTTGATAATCTGCAAGGCAGGCCTCGGAATGTTTCTTTTCCTCGACCCATCAACAAACCGCTTACATCGGTAAAGGAAAAACAATATAACTTTATCAGCATGTCGGTGTTAAAAAAACAACTTTGTCCGCTTGAACATGTTTCATTTTGAACGTTTTTCTCCACTGGCTAGTCATGCTTTCCGTGGAAGAAAATATCATGTTACATCGACACTATTTTGCATTCTTTGATCACCCGGATGAAAATCATCATCGTCTAGGGTTTCACTTCTACATTACAGTGTAGTATTCTCCTGATGTCGGAATCAATCGGTGAACGACCTATTCTCCCGGCGATCAGTTACTGCATATATTCGGGTTCCAAAGTATACGTCCAACGGAAAACCGGAAAGTCGACCAAATTGATGATACTTCTACCTAATCCTATTTTGATGAATCATCTTGTTTCTGTTCGGTCAGCAGTATTCGACTACCCTTCATACCGCTCCTTTGCATCGTTTATAATTTTTTCATTCTCTGATTTTTCTTTCAACGAACAGTTTATGATATTCGTTCCGAATCTGCTGCATATCTTGAATCTATTTCAGTCTGATGGAGTGCAAGCGCGCATTTTGGGTACGACGTGTAGCGTAAAACTTATGCAACTGGCCAAACTGTGCAACGATTTAGCCACTCGAGGTGACCGCCACAATCCGGTGTTCCGATTGGCTCGCACATTGGAGGGTAAACTGATTCAGGCGCAACGGTGGCTCGCAGATCCACGTGGACCGCAACGACAGGTTGGTCTGGAGGCCTGTCGTTCTTTGGCTCAGGGCGCTCGTAAACTATTGGACTTGGACCTCAATAGCGGTCCAAGTACTCCGGGACCAAGTGACAGAGGTCTCACGAATGGAGATGTGGAGAAGGTATCCAAAGATTCGTGTGTCGAAGCGTGTGAACACGTGGAACGTGCTGCGGAACGGTTATTTGCGGTCTCAGCACAACCAGAAAGTAAGTATGCTCCAACATCGCCTCTACTCTGCAAGCGTATTGCCACTCACGTCTAACCGAACATTTTGTGCATTGATATATCCGGATGCTGAGTTTGTTCTATCATCCTTGAAGAGGTTGCTCTCCAAAAAGAGCACATCATTTGGATATGAACCGCTGTAACATTAAGTTTGGACAAATTTGGTACCGAACTTCTTTGTTCCAATCACAAATTTGGTTTTTAAAATCGATTCCTGTCGAAAGTATCCCAAGGGAAATTGCTCGGTGCAACTTTGATGCAGTAAAACAGCAATTTACTGAAGTGGTGATGCATGTCAAAGCGATCCGATAGCACTGATCTTTTGGTGACAAGTCAGAGCACGTGGAACTGTGCGTGGGTCCTCTGTTATTACATGCTTTGAGGTTTTGAGCATAATCATCCAGCCTAGTTGCAAAAGTTTTCGTGTCGGTTGTGCATCTTTCAGTAGCGCTAATTTTGACCTTCTTCACGTTTGTTAACTTTAGGGCAGTCATGATAATCGTGGTAATTCCCGGAATATACCAGCGGTGCACATTGAATGAAAACACAGTTTGACGAACAACCTTATTTTCGACGACTCATCAACCGGCGATTACGTCACATTTTATGTAACATTTTGTATAGAAAAGAGGAAACAAAATCGAAGATTATTCAAATGGGGATTCTTGTTGTTGTTGTTTTCTGTCTCAGATTCACAAAATCGCCCATGGCTGATCCTACTATCGGAACTTATGCTTGGTCCGTGTTACTTGTGGTTTGGGGTGGGATTGGGAGGAGGAGGAGTACCAGGAGGATGGGAAATTGAGTGACTTCACAAATCGTGTTTGGGCGCACAAGCGGGGATTATGTAGACGAATTCCAACCACCTCTGCGGTGGCAAGGGTGTGGTTTTTAATTGGCTTTGATCTGCGACCCCAAACACGGTAGAGAGGCCGAAGTGCTTCCGTCACATTCACTGTGTGATCAAACTCGACGAGATGTGAAACGATGGCACTTGTAATAGTTTTAATCACACCAGCCAGGCCGTCTGTATCATTTGTGGTGACTTCAATAATTCCGATACCCGTTTCTTAACCACCTTAGGTCTTGTTACCTTTCTCACTATGCTTGATTCACATCTGGATTTTTGATTTATCAACCTTCCCAATTTACGTCTTGTACAACGCCGCCCCCTACTGGGAATGTCTGATCATTCTATGCTGAAGTTTTCCCGTACCATCTTTAGCAGAAAGAACCATCGTCTCTTTACTCGAAGTCGTTATCACAAGCTTCAAGTAAGACAGCGTTCTCCAGAATACCTCACGATGTTAAGGGAAATGATCAGACACTCTGACCTTACTTTGTTTTCTGATCCTTCCGTTTTCTGTGATCAATTGACAAGCTACTTAAGCTTTTGTGACGATGTCTGTTGTACCTTAGAGACACCTTATATTCGCCCTGATCGATTCTCGTCCCCACACCTCAAACAACTCCGTTGTAGAAAGGAGCGTGCCTTCAAAAGGCATAAGCGCGAAGACGTGCGCTCCCTTCCTAAATCCATCCGGGCTGAACTTCAAACTTCTTTATACACCCGTGCTCAGCTTGACAACAAAGGGAGTCGTGAGACCTGGCAAGCCCTCATGCGGATTTCTGGCATCAAATCCTCACACCGCTCAACTGCTGCGGTGGACATAAATGGTCTGAATCAGAGTTTCATCAACAGTGGAACCGCTCTCATTGCTCTAACTAATGGATATGAAATAAGCACCACTGATTCCGTCTCCAGCGTTGCATCTGTCGATATTTATCAAGTGTTGGCTCAATTAAATACTCACAAACCCCGCGAACCCGACGGAGTCTCACCCGCTGTCTTGAAAGAATATACTGCCTTCCTTTCCCCTGTACTGAGTGAACTTTCCAATGATTGTATTTCGCAGCAACGTGTACCTGACTGCTGGAGAATAGTCTCTTGTACCCCTGTTGCCATAAAGGATCCTCAAAATTCCGTCCCATTGCCTGCACCTCAGTTGTTTTTTTGAAGGCGTTTGAGAGGCTCCTCCTTAAAACCCTGTCTACACAATTCAATTTTGGTGACCTGAACCAGTTTGCATACACCCATTCCCGTGGTACCCTGGATGCCCGTGCTTATCTGTCCCACTATGTTTTATCCAACCTGGATAGGAAAAGCAAGGGTGCTAGCATATGTTTTCTTCACTACAGTGATACTTTCAACATAATTGATCAACAAACTTTGTCCAATACCCTCTTTTCGGGCAGAGTTCAACCTTCTACGATTGAACTCCTGGCCAACTATTTCTCCAACCGTCAGCAGATCACGCTCTACAAAAGTCGTACATTTTCACTGCTGCCCTCCTCAAAAGACGTACTACAAGGCGCTATTTTATTCCCTTTTCTTTCTTCTGCTTACATTTCCTCTATGCCTGTGATCAATTCTTCTCTTCTCGTTAAGTATGCAGACGATATAATATTCGGACTGCCCTACCCCAACTCATCATTTCAACCGACTCTACAAGAAGACGTGTCTGAACTAGTTGAGTGGTCCCAACAAAGGAACCTCCGCATGAACCCCCAAACATATTTTTTTCGTTTTTGAAAGGGCAAGAGTATGATGAATTATCAAACGCTAGTCCATCTTTATCTATCCTCAGTGACCAGATGGAACGACAACCGTCTATCAAGTACCTGGGCGTCATTTTCAACCGTAACATCACCTGGTCTGACCACGTCAATGACGTTTTTCTGAAGGTCAGGAGACTCACGTTTTATGTTTTACGTCTCAAATCACTTTCCATTCAAAACCATGTCATAAGGCGATTTATTTTTGCGTGCGTTTTGTCTCACAGGCTTTATGGATCCCCTGTTATCTTCCCTGGTCTTTTGAACAAGGACCTCAAACTCATTTTCCGATCCCTCAAATTTCTGTCAGTTTGTAGTCTCATACCACGGGAACATCTGGTACAGTATGTGGTGACACATCACATCAAGTCCTGTGAAACATTTTCCAACAAGATTTTATCGGATATCTTTCATCCTCTTTATTTCGCCCTCAGTCCGTGCCTTTCTCACTCATCCACCCCTTCCACTCACAAACTTTTAAAGACGCACACTGAAGCTTACAGGCGGTCTATTGTCCATTATCTCGCCAGGCTTCTAACAAACCATGAACTTGCTGCAGGAAATCTGCGCCAAATGTTAAACTAAATCCATTCTATACACCCGAGTATGCCATTGATTTTGATGTTGCTGTCCGTTTTCATGTACTTTAATTGCTGTATCATACTGCGGTTGTTGTTTTTTCCACTTTTTGTTGACACAGTATGGTTCTTTGGTTGCTGAATATCCACCTCTCGGGGTGTATAAAGCCATTCCTTGACTTAACTTGACTTGAATTTACCAAAATGCGGCCATAAAAACAAAAGCCATATACACATTAAGTATCTGTATCGGTATTAAGCCTTGTTTGAACTCTTGACGTCGATGACCTTGTGAAAACTAAGTGGTGGTTAAGATGAATGTGTGTGTGTGTGTGAGTGTGTCTGTGAGTGTGTGTATGTGTGTGTGTGTGTGTGAGTTCACGCGTATCTAAATGTCATTTGTTTAATCTCTTGATTTACAAAATATACCTGAAGTTGTTATTCTTCCTTACAGCCACCGGCCTTTTTATTGGGTTCGTTTTATAATTTGCTTCACAGATGTCAATCTCCATGAATTAATTTTGTGCTATACTATGAGAAACATAAAAAACAAATATGATTACCGAAAAAGAACAAATTTTTCAAAGGTCAAAAGTATCCGTTCTATCCTATTACTCCTCTGTGTTCAATGATCTGTGTAAAATGACAAATTCAGCAAAATAATGTCGCAAAATAATTTTTAATCATTCAAGATCGCCAACGTCATTCATAGTAAAGTATGTTCGAGAAAAAATAAAGACCGTATTGTGGGCACACAAAACAAACTTTTAGATGCTTTCCGATCGGAAACAGACATTGATTCAAAGGTCACGCGGTTGCCACAATTAACCGTTCCATAGGATTAGTGATATGAAATCAAAGTGATTAAACTTATCGCAAATCGCATTAAGGGGTAAATCTTCAGATGCATTAGTGAAGAAAATTCAATATGCGATGAGCCGTAAGTCACTCTCTCATATGTAATCGTGATTGCACCACTGTATTTGGGAGTTTTTGGCATCCCACTCAACTGCTGAATCATGGACAATTGCTTTATATCAAATGCATATCTCGCACTGTTTGACTAACGTTTCGGAGTAACGGGGCAACATACATGTTTGAATGAGCACATTCATCAGCGGAAACCGCTCATCAAGGTTGGCCAAAACCTAATAAAAGTAAAGACACATAGGTTCTAAATACTTGTGTTTGTACGCACTTGACTGTTGCGGAACGGGCACAATACCCCAGGCTATGTTATCGATCGGAATTTCCAACGCAGCATGATGCTCGTGTCAGAATCATTTAATCTAAGATAAATAAAGCGGTTGCCCACGATTAGGCGGTTAACTGAGGTGCGCATAACACCCAAATTTGACGTTCGCACAAGATATATATATGCGGTGCGTGAAAGAGACCACGAGCGCACCATGGATTTTACTCCGAATAACCAACTGGATCTGTCACATCCGAGTACCTCGGATTCAGATCGCGTTATTGTTAAAATATGGAAATAATTTTGAAATATAAGTTGTGCCTACTCATGAGTAGTAAACATTGTACCAAAATTTTAAATTTTTTTCGAGACCTCGTCCGCCCGTGAGTTCAAACGAACAATGCGGGTTTTCAGGATTAACTGAAAAACGCATAATATTCCAATCGCCTTTCAATGTTACTGAGTACTTTCAATGCACAATTCAGCAGAAACATGAGTCTGTTGTCAAGAATACTCATAATTAAGAACATTCGGAAACGATGTGTTGAAATAGAACTATGGTATAACTAACTATGGTGTACCGGGTAGGAAATGCTACATGATGATCACCTAAAACTGATTTTATTCTGATGTGGGGGCTTTTAAATA